ATTCAACTGGCCCTATTGTGAGCTCAAGCACTATGTTACTCGGGTATTGGTTGACAATGGGTCTAGCGTGAACATCTGTCCTCTCTCCACATTGACCAAGCTGAAAGTGGAGGATGAAAGAATTCACAAGAACAATATTTGCATTCGGGGATTCGACGATGGAGGGAAGGATTCAGTCGGGGACATAGTGCTTGAGCTCACAATAGGGCCAGTTGAATTTACCATGGAATTCCAGGTGCTCGATGTGGCTGTTTCGTATAATCTGCTGTTGGGACGACCCTGGATCCATGCGGCCAAAGTAGTCCTGTCTACTCTGCATCAAATGGTCAAGTTTGAATGGGATCAACAGGAATTTGTTGCATACGGCGAAGATAATTTGTGTGTGCCCAATGGTGCCATTGTTCCGTTCATAAAGGTTGATGATGACAAGGGACCATGGGTTTATCAGGTTTTCGACACAGTATCGATAGAGAAAATTCCGGAAGGAAAGTGCGTTCCAACTCCAAAGATGGCTGTTGCATCAGTCATGGTAGCTGTTGAAATGTTGAAAAATGGTTTCGTACCGGGCAAGGGTTTGGGTGCATCTCTGCAAGGTATTGTGCAACCAGTTTCTCTTCCAATGAATTTGGATACTTTTGGTCTGGGGTTCAAGCCCATGGTCGCAGACGTGAGAAGAGCTAGAAAAATAAAACAGAGAGCATGGGCATTGCCAAAGCCAATCCCGCATCTATCCAGATCATTCGTCATGTCGGGTATCAGAAAGCAATTGTTGTCAAAAGTTCCTGGATCTCTGATTGGTGCCGATGGAGACTTGGAGAAGGGGTTCGAAAGATTATTTGCCGAGGTCAACATGGTTGAGGCTGGGGAAGGGTCCAGCAAGGCAGATGTGCAATTCGTGGGACCACGCGCAAAAGTCAACAATTGGAAAGCTACTCCTCTTCCTACCCGGAGGGAGTCTTGGTAGTGGGCTTTGATTTTCTTTTAGTTGTCTAGATTATTCCAGGGTCTGTAATTAAGATATTATGTTCCATCCGGTTGGATGTGTTAAAACCCTGTTATCTTTATATTCAATGAAATGCAATTGTTCCTTTCCCTTCATTTCTTCTAATTTTATTTTGTTTTCTTCTTTTGTACAGTTCTTTTTATGTTGATATCAATGACATGACATGTATGAGGAATCTTCGGCCCAGTTTTAAAAGCCAATCTAACTCTGAAATAATAATACAAGAAATTGAGTGTGATGACGAGTTGGAATTTGAGGATGATGAGGCCTATGAAGAAATTAGTAAGGAACTAAGTCATTTTGAGGAAAATCCCAAACCTAATTTGAATGACACAGAAGCAATTAATCTAGGGGACCAAGAAAATGTCCGTGAAACTAAAATAAGTGTCCATCTGGAACCTCAACTCAGGGAGGAGATAATTAAAGCAATGTTCGAATACAAAGA